TATTTTTTTGTTATTTTTATTTTACCTCATAACTCCGTCAGTTGTAAACGATTTGGATTATTTTTTAACTGAATGGAAATTTTTTTTATACAACTTAGAATGGCAAAAAAGCTGACGGCCCACCTGATGGAAAGTGGTAACCGTCGCCTATAGACATGAGCAGTACCATGGACATAACAGAGTATACTGTTTCGCCCATGATACCCCACATGCGTTGCCATTCCTGAGGACTCAGATGTTATTCCTCCGTACCCAGTAAATTCACGCTAATTCCCACTCTTCAAACCGAAACACAGCCATGCCAAGCACAACTGCTTTACGGTTGAAACACGAATGGGACAGAGGTACCCAAGCAATCGACTTTTGTACAAAGTCTCCCTCTGGTGGATATCCTTACAGTTTGGTTCCATGACATGTTCGATACATATGGAAAATGTTCAGTAGTTTAGTTTTTAAGTAAAAATAATTGGTTTTAATTTTAATTATGACAGAAACAAAAAAATCTGAATTCTTTTTACCTGAAACTGACGAATGGTACCGCAAGTCTACCAAGGCAAACTTTTGGAATATAATTTATGAATAGTCTTAAAGAGGTACCTACAATAAATTTACACTACACCTCTTTGTAATATTCTATATGAATATCACTTAAGTATTCCTTTAGTTTTTTTAGAATATCTTGGATTTTTTTTGTTACTTGTTATTATATATTTACATAATAGTGATTATAACTTTTTTTGCGTTATCGTTGCGTGTTATCATCTATCACAGTCGATTGATGGATTATTCTGTTGAATATTTTTATCAAATAGCTGATATCTGCGAGATATACCGGAACTTTTGTTCTTGTGAAATTTTTTTAAATATACGAGTATATCATGACTTTATGCTACATTTGTGAAAATGCATCCTAAAATGTTTCTTGTTTTAATTTCAATTTACAAAAAAAAAATATATTGTTTTTATATAAAACAACATTATTGCAGAAGAATAAGGAATAAGGTATATACTTTATTGATATATACTTATGTATAAAAAAAAGGCTTCAATAAATTGCGTTTGGTTATGGATGAATGATCAGTTCAATTCCGTAAAATCATTTTGTGACAAAGTACGCTTATTTGTGGCTAGCGTGGCCGTTTCTGCTGTTTGCAGTATTTGGCTAATTTAGAAAGATTCAGCGCTATAAAGTATGATGTAACTTATTATAAATAGTCAGATCACATTTTAAGTTAATAGCTAAGTTCGTTATTTATAATAACACGCATATGGCTTGTAACTCATTATAGATGCGGTTACAGCTACATCTGGATATTATAAACATAATTGTTAAAACATTGTATAACAGGCCACAAGTAAACTTATTTGTTTATGTAATGGCTTACCTGTTTATCATCTTTAACTTAAGATGTTTTTTAACTTTCAATTTCCGTTGCGTCTGGAAATAAATATTGTTAATCTCGTACAAAACTTTTTTTTTTGCTGTAATTCGTTTAAAATCAGATTGTGTTGTTTGTGTTATAACTATATTGTTACCAAGTGTTTTGATTTATTTATGTATAATGTACGATGTTTATTATTTTATCACTATTATAATGTTTAAATCAACCTTAAATTATATTAAAAAAATATATAATAATAAAAAGTCAAATAAGCTTTGTAACATAAATATAGAATTTGAATTCGATATATAACTGTTAATTTCTTTTGAATAGGTCCCTACAAATTGAGTAGGATTTGACAGTTGAGACTGAAATTGATCTTCGTCCATTGAATATGTCTAGACGAGATAAAGCTTTTGAGCGTCCATCTACTGCTTGCTATCAATCTTGCTCAGCTACGTTGGGCTCGTTGGATGTTGCCCTGGAAGTTTAGTATACTGTCACTAAACCAATACGTTTGCCCTAATGTATTATAGTATTATATGTTATTTGATCATATATCGGAGAATGGTAACTTTTGAATTATGATTTATATAATATATTAAAAAAAATTACAAATAATAATGGAATCAGGCGTAGTTAATTTTCCTTTTGTGTTATATGTGTTATGTATACATTTCAAAATACTATTGTTTTATATAGCACATCTTTTCTAAGTGTTCGTAAGAAATAATCCAATAATTGTATCAATAATTTAATCGGCTGTACGTACAATCTTATTCCACATTCTACTTTAAATTAAACGTCAGTCAGTTTGTTTGATAACAAGAACTAATTTATCGATAATATGTTTTGTCAAAGTTATGGCTGATAGTGTTAAGTAATTCCTAGTAATACATAAATAACAGATCGATGCCAACCACCGAATGTGCTATTCTATACGAAACAGTAGCTCGATCTTGATGGAGTGGAGTATACGTTTTCGCGTTCACTTTTCGACGCTAGAAGATATTGGTGAAAGGTTTATTTACAAATGCATGAGCGAAAGTAAATGAAAGACATCGATTGGCGATAGCTTTTTACTAAACCTTGAAATGTAAATAGAGACAACACAAAAGATTCGATAGGAGACTGTAAGTAGCATCAAATATTAATTATTTGTTAACAACTGATGGAGAATTGTTTCTGAAATTGTTTTGTTCGATTATGATGTAATAGACGTCACGGCGACTTGATCTGTTTAAAGTTTTCAAGCGTTAAGAGTTTCTAATCGTATTTGGATTTTCTGCTATTCCTATTATTTGCAAACCGAACACCTGCTATTTCGTGCAAAAACCAGTCTAGACATCCTTAGCATTAAGTGTTTGAAATATGCTAACCATTGAAAACTGTTTTCATGTAATTGTCGACCTTGTTACTATTGTGTAATGATTCATATTAGTACTGATTGGTACAGATACATAGCATGGAAACATTCCTGAAGAACTATGGTCATATTATTATGTCGACGCGACCCAACGGACGCAATGACCATTAGCTCAGCAGGTGACGAAACTAAATTACAATTAACTTACAATCTATTTATAAATTATTGCATTTTAATTGGTAGAATGCATACATAATATATTAAATAACATATTTTTCAATTATTACAGATTGATCGATGTTGTTCTATATATCGAAACTTCAAAATTTTAATCCAGTTGTTCAAATCTGTAAATAATATATTTATTTCTTAAGAATATAAAATTATCTTTTTCTCGCCAAAAGGAACATGAGACTTGTCTAGATAGATTTCAGACCAATTAATAGAGTATACGTGGATAGGTTGTTTTGACTGGACTGGCGCAGCATTATGTTTGGGGTTTCCAAACAGAATGCTGGGCGATTGTCAATGGCCAAAACTGTTGTAACCAAAGAATGAAAATCATTTTATATATTTATTTTCTTCCATCTTCAGTTTTAGTAAAACTACTGTCAGGTTAACTTGGCCTTAACTTAGTCCAAGTCGTACGATGCGATGTCACCTTTTATGATTCCCTCGAACAGAGTAGAATCTTAATAGTGACCTTAGAATTAGATAACCTATTATTATATTATCTATTTATATTAATATTTAACGATTCCTTACATAAGACTTTCTCTTAAATATTTCTCTCTTCGTTAACTTTCTATTATATTTCACAGTAAAAAAAAATATCGTTCTTAATTAATTCAAATGTTTATTGTTATAGCATAAGGTATAGTTTTTATTATATTTATATTAATTATTAGTATAGTTTATATAGTATAGTTATATATAATAGTTTATATATATTTTTAGTGCAGAGAGAGTATTTCATTTCCGTTTCTTTTCAACATTTGTCTTTATATCTTTGAGGTACATTTGAGTATTATTTTCAGATCAATAATCTCGAATTACTTCACGTTTTTATTTTCCAAAAAATAAATAAGCGGTGAAAATTATAATATGGAACTATTGTTATACACATAATTTCATACATAACGCTATTATAGTTTTTGTTATCGATTCAATCTCTGGAGTCCTAGACAGGGAACACCGGTATTGTAACAGGGTATCGGTGGCCGACCGCAAATTGCGTTAGTTTCACATTGTGGCGAATACGACGGGAGCTCACTTATATTCATTGTATTTGAATTGTCCTTGGTTTTATTTAGAAGTATCACAATTATTGAAACTAAATCAATTATTAAAATTCTAAATATATTATTATATAGTTAAGATTTTAATAATTTGTTTAGGGCTTTGTTCATACGTATAATTTTTATGTAATTACAAATTGTAAATAAAATAAACTGATGAATCAACTAATAGAAAGCGGCAACCGTGGTCTGTATTAATACACTGTATCACTCACGGTAAGCATCGTACTTTATCATATCTGAGGATTAAGGTGTACGTATGACTATGAATATTACAATTTTAATAGCATTATTAACCCATTCCTTTGACTAATATCATGCAATCATAGCTACATGCCGGCGGAAGCAGGAGGGGGTAGAGTTATCTATTCACACGAACTTATAATTTTTAATGGTGTACTAATGTGAAGGATCATTAGTTTTAGTATACGGGGACCGTTAGTTAACGACCTTTATCTTCACAGAGTTATATAAATATGATTTACACAATACACGCCGTTAATTAATATAGAAACAATGGACTCGCGCTTACAATGGTGTACGTAACTTCTATCCAATTTAATGTAAACAATTACATTACCTACTGTATCCACTGATTAGTATGCGCTAAAATATTTTTCTCATACTTTTTTTTGTATCGTTATGTTTTAAAACATTACGATATTAAAAAAATATAAAAGTGAAAATGTTGTGGCCTGTTATTTTCTTGACGAAGTGCTTTTTGTTACTTCGTAAATTGTATATGTCCGAACGATACGATTTGATACGTGATCGATAGAGCCGATCGGAAGCATTCATCCTAATTGGTATTTCAATAGCCAAGTTAGTCAATTGGATTCATGTGTAGAGAGATTTTGTGCTGTCTCTCTTCAGCTTTCAATTATGTCAATCGCAATTGAAAACATGTTTTTGTTATATTTATATATATTTGAAAATATTTTTCTTTTGTTTTAGCAACTCAAAGATGAACTCGGCGAGGTGGTGGCCGAGTTGGAGGCCTTGGATGGCCAGGAAGAATGCAAGCAGAATAGTAAAGCCAAACAGATGAGCATAGGAAGGAAGAAATTCAATATGGACCCCAAGAAAGGTTTGTATTATTATTCATGCATATTTATATAATCTAATTGTACGGACACTAGAGAGGAGGTTAGGACCTTTCTATTCTCGAAATAAAAAGGTATTTTAAAAACTTTTACTATATTCTAAATGCATGCCAAATTTTATCATCATTGTCAATCATCTTTTCAGTGGAGTCCGGGTGATAAACACACCGACATACACAACATGTCATGTATTCATATCTATCAATCAACTTGTCTGTTTGTAGCAGTATTAGCATAGGTATCTACTGAGTTATTAATATGTATAGATACAATACAAATATGAATAACATGCGTAATTTTATATACCTACCTGTTTGACTCTATAAACCAGTTTTGTGATTCACTGATGCGATTGAATTCGTATTAATATTAAACGATTAAGTAACACATTAAATTCTAAAATAAGACGCCTGACAGTGAATTTTCGCAGCTATAAAGAGTAGGTATAATGATGTCTTACAAATAACTGGAATGATCGCAATAAGGCAGGTGTAGCGTTCCCACGGACAGCCGGGCGACATACACGGAAAATTGTTCTATTCCTGTTCTTTTATATTACACCTGTCCATCGAACGCTTAGTGGAATCCCATGAATTGTACTCGGCGACATAATTATTTGAATTCTTAGTCATTAATGTCATTAAAAGCCACCGGCAGCGATTTGTCGGGCAAATTTTCGAGACTTAAAATGTCGGATATAGTAATGAATGGAAGATAATTCAAAATTTTAGGTCAAGTAGTCCCGAGACCGATGAACACGATAAATATAAGAGTTAAATTTATAAAGAGGTAGGTTGATACATATCTCGCTTTTTACACATTAATAAATTTTTATCAAGTAATATATAACTACATCATCATATCAACCGTGGACAGTTACCACTGTTGAATAAAGGCCTCGCCCTCGGGAGGTTTTGCTAGTAGTTGCCGCTTTTCACAGACGGGAAAGCATACGTATTTAGGCTTTGCTGATGTTTTAAGAGGGACACTGCTGCCTTTTCCAAGACCATTAAATTCTCTTAGGCTATATACAATATACGTTTCGGATATTCTTGATTTCTTAGAATGCGCTAATATGGAATAGAATATAATTATTTGGCATTTTTAGACTCATATTTACTTCATTATGTAGCTACCCCTACATATCTTTAGCATAATGTGTAGGTTGTTTGTGTTTTGTAGGTTGCAGTCTTAATTGCAGAACTGGTATAAGTTACGTGACGTCAGAATTAAAATAAATATAACCACTAAAAGTGTCAAAATCTTGTGAAATTCCAGTGTTACTTGTATTGCTCTATCATGTTTATTTGTTTATATAGATAGAATAAAATCCCTATTTCTTTGTGGTAAAAATAAAAATAGTCAAATTAATTCTCCAGTCGTCGACACAGAACAGATAATAATAGCAATGTGGGTTCCGTTTCCTCGGGCTATGGAATCCGATGGATTTAGCATGTAGATTAAATTATTTAAATACAAAATTATATAAATACTATTTATTATGATATTCTGTACTTTAAGAACAATCTTTGGAAGAATCAGCAATGTCACATTAAAGTACAGAAGTATTAACATGTTAATTTAAGATAAAAACATTAATATGTGACTTCGAAGTTGGTTGTAGAATAGTTTTGTTTTTTTGTGTTCAATTCTTATAACAGTACATACTACAATACAAAACATATTATGATACTAGATCTTATTCTCTATTGAGATTACGTATGAGTACCAACCAAGAATTTGCGGTCTCCGTCTAATCTAACAGGGAGGGTATTCGATACTTGAATCTCTTATTACATTACTCGAGTATGTACCAGGGAGAAAAAATTTAATACAAAATTATGCATGGAAATTTTAGATTATACTCCCGTATATAGTATACTTAGTATGTATATCTGTATTTTACAAAAGTACTGGCTTACATATTGCATTGTATCAAAGGTAAAATTATTTTGTATCGTCTATAATTGATTTTGTATGTTTAAACCTTTCAAATATATCTTTATCTACTCTGCATAGATGTTGATAATTATTTCCGCAATTGGAGCTAGTTATGCAGAAAAAAGCCGTATTACCTGGGATGTCTATAAGAGATCTATGCCTGCTTTCTGTGTAAGTAGCTACAATTGATATGGTTTATTTGCTTGTTCATTTCATTAAGAAGTATATATAATATATATATTTTTTTTATTGTATTAGTTATTTTTATGCTGAAGAAACAACTTATAACATTAAGTATTCTGTAAAGTACTTATTGAGATTTAATCAGGAACATAAAATATTTGAAATAATTTATGTTATGCCGAGGTATGAGTCGGCATATTATTCTATGTAATAATATGTTGTTACATAGAAATAGAAGTAAATTACACTTACCATCTTTGAAATGTTGTATTATATCGATGACTTCACTGTAAGTACGACATTTTTGGCATTGAATTCTTGATGCGAATACAGCCAATGACACGAGCAAACAATGTTTGCTCAAATGAATAGTATTATGTGTCACTAAATTGTTTACTTGGAACACTAAAATGCTTTAGTTTAATCGTGCTTGAGATGCGATGATTAATGTACCAACCGTTAAATCTATAGTTATAGCATGTACGCATACTTAATTTAAAAATGTTAGCTTTTTTTCTGCGCAGAGAGCAATAAATGTCATTTAAAAAGACTTAGTAAACTTGATTGGATACATGAATTGACGAGAGATCTAGACAGTCTTTTATACTGGGAAATTAGGTCACCTTGTTGTAAGAAGTAGCTTGTTAAGTTTCTGTAGCAACTGACGCCTCAGCTTCGCGAGCCCTGTACCGGTTGAGCTGTTTATATATGCAGGTCCTATAAAAAATGTTTATTCCATTAGAGATATTTCTAAGGAAATACGAGTAGTACATATACTTTTTCCATATAAATGTGATGGTACAATAAATGCTTGCAGTAGTGAACAACATACTTATACAAAAAAATATTGAGGTTTTTTAAAGGGAATCTTTTGATTACTGCTGTGTAATCAAGCCATCTTCTGAATGAGTATAGATTGGTTAATTTAATCATCACTCAACTAACGCAGAATGGCCTAATTACAAACCTATGTTCAGAAATTCCCGGACAAAGTAACCAACTAGATGTTTATGTTTAGTCTAACCGAGCTCTTCAGTCTGTCCTATATACATTTGCAAGTTTCTGTTAACGACATCTCTACACTTATTGAGCCTGTTCACGTATGTGTATGTTAGTCATAAAGTCTAAAATCAACCCCGAACATATTGATAGTATTCATAAATTATAAATCATTTTTACGAGAAATTTACATATTTGCTTAATTGAAATCATATTTTGTAAAAATAACTAAGTATATCCGAAATTGTCTGTATGGTGGAACATGACAATCTTTTAAGTTTTGTGATATTATATTTTATTATTATTATTTTACTTAAAATATTCATATAATTATAGGCAATGTGAATGGTTGAATAATTATAGTAAATATATAAGATTTTAATGTTTAAATTAGTCATACGAAGATAATTTTAAACAATCACATGACTGCAAACTGTAAATGTAAATGCACAGTTTAAACAATATTTAAAAATAATATCACCATTAAGTATAGTAATGTCATAGCCCAAATTACGTCATTAAATTACATATATTTATCTTAAACTCATAAGTGATCTCATTAAATTATTTCCGAATTATATGATGTGTTAAAATATTTTAATAATATAGAATTGTCAAAGTCAAACTATATTACGATTAATAAAAAGTTCTGAAATATATTTTATAATTATATAGAAAATATCGCGGTCTCTAGGTATCTGCGATCTTCTTTGTCTTTAAATTTGATTCCTACTGGTTACAATTTTGTTTAGAATCCCACTCGCTTTACTTTTGATCAAATTGTGTAACAGAGTTTTTTCGACAATTTTAAAAGTCCTGCAATAAAAAATTGTTTAGACGTAGGCTGATTTACCTAAAGAGGATTTGCATTATTTCTACGTTGTGTGATAATGTATTGCGTGTGGTCCTGATATAGAATAGTCTAATCCTGGCATAAATAGAATAATGCCCTTCTTTTTCCATGGGTACCGTAAGAGACGACTAAAGAAACATAATGGTCGAGGGTTGGGGAGCAGCGTCCCTCTTAAAACATCGTCAAGGCCTACTATGGTTGGCAACCCGCCTGCCAAATGTGGCAACTATTGGCAAAACCCTCTATTCAGGCCTGTATTCAGCAATAGCCAATTAACAGCTGACATGGTGTGGTATGGTGTTAACGTATTGTGGTAGGACCTTGACTAACCAAGCAAAGCCAGTTTATTAGAAGTCTGCATGGAAGCCATTACCTGCCCTACTCATTAGAATATTGATTTGTATTTTCTTTGTTACTTTATGGTGCCTGATATTTCGTGATAGCGAGAAAAAGGTAGCAAGTGATATTTTGATTTTATATCTGGAACATAGCAATGTTATCATAGTCTGTATGTGGATGATTGGGAAGTTGAAATGCTCTCTGATGATAGCAATTATAACCTATTAAAAATAATCAAGTCCGTCGATTATGTAGTCTTAATATTTATATTTCTGTGCTAAACCAAATATTTACCAAATATGTTTGTCATGTATGACATGGGGACCTTCAAAAAGATAAATTAGCTTTTTAAAAGTCCGGCCATGCACTGGCGACTCCCTTGGTGTCGCTAGTGTCCATGGGCTGCGGTGACCACTTACCATCAGGTAAACGGCATGCTCATTTGTCGCCCTTTTACGTAAAAAAAAAAAAAAAAATATTATTAGATCACAGGTATTAAATATTCAATTCATATATTCATTTGTTTACATTTTTGAGTAGACATATATGACGGTGACAAAATCAGAATATTTTAATGTCTATTACAAAAGCAACATAAAATCGGTTTCAACATAAAAACTATTATATGGTCCAGTGTTATTATTACTTAATTATATAAACGAAAAATAATTTATTTAAAACCTAACCCTTTCTTGAAGTCTGTTAAAAATGCCGGATATAGTACACAACAAATCTAAAACAAGGTATCTGGAGATCATCATTAATTACGCTGCATCAAGGTTGTACACAATCTACGTAAACTCTGTGTCAATTTGCTTTGCGTGCCGGTAGTAGACTTTGTTGTAGAGCGGACACCGTTTGGCGCTAACGAGATTATTATCCGTGGTGACGTGATACGTCATTTACTAATGCCGTGTACACAATGACAAAATCTAACAAAAATACATGAATAACCAATCATCACCCTGAAATCAGTCGACCCCCATAGATAATAATTGTTTTTTTTTTTAGTGAGGCTTTAGAAAAGTTACAGTTCGAAAACATTTGTGCGGAAAAGGGATCTATCGATAAACAGATTTTATAATGTTACTGTAAATAGAAGGCAATGATTTGTTTAATCTTACTTATATAATGAAACTGTAACTAGACGATGACTATACATGGGAGATATTGAAGAGAAATTGATTTGAGAGGTCTTAATAAGAGCCAAAACAATTTTTTTATCTGTCTATCCGGATGTTTATGCTAGCATCACGCAAGCACTACTGCATCAAATTGAATGCGGTTTTTATAGATGTTTTTCTGAAAATCTAACTTAAAGTCTGGTGTCCGTTTTATCTGGATACATAATCTAGAAGTGAATTGTGTTATCAATTTTCCTACTTCTGAAATGAAGTAGCAGGCAAACAAGTTAGTTTTCATATAAATTTAGCTATTAGCGGCTCTCTTTGTGCAAATTTCATTTTTCTGGTGATTTGAAATAGTATTCTTTCCCTACTTGCTGCATTATCGTTAGTAGGAGCCAGGATTTATGTTTTTTCCTCCGCTATCTCTACCCGTCCTTGAGGAAGATAAATTACTTCTATTCGTTGCCAAGGATAATGACGATGCAAAACGTATTTAGGTATTATGATCGCTACCAACATATACACTCAGATATATTTAAAATAACTCTTAAATATTATTGTAACTATTCGTGTGGGGTTGGTGTCCTAAAGTGTTAACAGTTTCTAAACCACCTTTGTACACGAAGACGTCTCATCTGATGGGCTTTACTGGGCGACAGCTTTATAAATAAACCAAGTATTTCCAAATATTTTCACAACTTAAATTATCCATCATGCTGTTCAATTTTATATGGATGGATACAAGCATAAAACTAATGTTGAGGTCAAATATACGTTAAGGCTGTTGCAAATTAATGCCGAGAACGAACGTGGGCAGAACTGCTAGAAATAGTGTATCGAATTTATCTATTGCGGCATGAAATATTCGCCTTTTGAGTAAGACGGTTAATGTTGTTAACAAAATGTCTTGAGTAATAAGTTTAATATTTTAAGTCTATTTTATTAGCTTTTTTTTCGTATACTCTTCATCACGTTAAGAGAAAAGATTAAGAGAAAAATTGAAAACATATCTTTCACGTTGTAGCATTTTGTTTCACTACTATGTTAATAGAATTAACAGGGAGAGCTAGAGTTCTGTAGCTTGTTTTTAGCATAAGGTAAATTTTTCATTCTATTAAAATATTTATTAGTAGAGTAAATATTTATATGGGTTAAAGATACGTCCTAATTATAGCTAATGTAAAATCTATTTATGCTGTCAAGCGACAAGTGAAAGATTATCTTTATCTGATCGGTTCTTCATTTGATAAATTGGGATTCTTTATTTATGTAATTATTTTATTTTAATGTACCTGTAATTCTATATATTTGTTTTAGTATTAGGTACATATTTAACATATATGTATAGGTTTATATATTGTATATATTTAATAATTTTATTTTTTAAATTTCATAATTTTAATTAAACAATATCATCATACCTACTTGTACATGAATTAGTCCATTATTACCCTAAAGTTGTTTTGAAAAGATTGCTTTCAGAAATAAGACCACCTTACTCTACTGACTATAACTATATCGTTACGATATTTATTGTTTTACTTATTCCCTATATTGTATAATGTAAATAAAGTTCATTTATTCATCTAATACTAAATCTAATTATGTCTTAAATTTAGTGTGAAAAACATTTGTATATTGAACTGTTGTGTTACAAATAATGCTGTGTTTTACAAATTTACTAGGTATTCTAATCCAGTAACCATTAGATTAGGCGAAGATAATGACGATGAACGATCATCGCCATATGTTACAAGGCATATTAGAAGGTTATTTATGTATTATTTCAATTTAAACTTGATGAAGTTAATTACCATGTCGAAATAATAAATAGTGTTATAACTACTAATGAAATGTCATTCGTTCGTAAAAATAACATTTTAGAAATAGTGTGTTGAAATTTTTGTGTAGGTATGGAAAGAAATCTTAAGGGTTCCTCGGTATTAATCTGAATTAAATTAATGTTGGCTACGTTTAAGCTTTTAATTTTACTTTTGACATAAGATTAATGAGCGCTCTCGTAAGGATTAAGAGCTACTGTACTTTATAAATTTACTACATATTTTCTTAGATTATATCTTTTCGTTTATGAGAGTCAATTAAGTCTTCTGGTCTTTGATCAGACCATGAGATCTATTTTAAGCTTTGAAGTTTATTACGTGTTCTACTCTATAGTCGCCTGCTTTAGTGTTACCTAGTTTATTATGTTTAAGATAACATTATTGATAATTTCTATATTTAAATTTTTTTTCTCTATTAATCTTGTATCCTATAAAGTAGCTAACTCTTGGGCAAAACTTTATTCTTCCATCCTTTTTATCTATCTAGATATTCGCTATTATTGTATTTTATTATATTCTAATAACTTTGTGACTTACAAAACAATTCAAATATTAATTTTGTCCAAGTAAAATTAGCGTCTAGTAATTTATTATAATTTTTTTCATTAGCCCTGCAATTTTCTATGCTTTCATGTTACATAACCTACCCGCATCTATGTTCTGACTTGAAGGCATTGATACCGACCCTTCGATCCACACATTCAACTCCCCCATTCAGACGTCAAATGGCTGCGTGGGTTGAGTTTGTGACGTCATTTGTAGACGTACTAGCCGTCTATTTTTTGTCTATTTTTAAAGTGTCTGCTGACCTTTGCGGTTTTATTCTTTGACATTTTGAAAACATTTTAATAACTCCAGTTACTACATTGTTTCGTTCTCAAAACGTCATATAATCTTTAGAATGCATTAACTTCTTTAAAGTTCTCCATCACAGTATAAGGTCGATTCTTTATTTAATAACTATCTAATCTGCAAACGATATCTGAGGTTAAGAACGAATATCATGAACGAGATTTTAATGTATTAAAATGTAACTTAGGCTAGCTGGAAATTGCATTTCATTGCTATATTTGCAGCGGAAATGCCAACTGTAAATATAATTTTGCAACAGTTGTACATCGTTGGCATATGTAAGACATAGAGCTTTGAAACTTATACTTGGTGTTGCACGATAGTCGATAGATAATCGATATTATTTTGAAGCTCTTTTCGTATTTGTAATTGACTGACTTATCTATTGTATATTATCGAAAGTATTTATTGTATCAATACTATCGTGGTAATGTTTAAATTGTATTTTCGTTTCCTACTATCTTTTTATGATTATATCAGTTATTTCTTGATTAAAGATATTATAACAATATGATGACCTGTGTAACGTGCTACAAATATAAATTTTATTTCATTTCTACCATAATCAAGTGAGACAATCAAAATCACCAATACTATTTTATTTAAATATTTACAAAATTTAAAAATGTCTATCGTTGATAGAAATGTAACAAATTACCCAATCGATAATATTCATAGTTTTATAAAATGTTACCCATTTTACATAGATAGTGAACGATACTGCAAGACGTCTTATCGGCGAAGACAAGGGCACACCATAATTTTATGCGGGCTAATACCAGTCAACGCAGAGTACATAGTTACACAAACACACACGATATGAGCAGTTTTCACCTCGACAGACATTTAAACTCTAGTGTTTCCATTGATCAAAGATGTGCAGATAATCTGCAATGAGAAGAATATCATTTAAAAAGTTCCAAAATGAGAAAGTCAAATGCTTATTGACTTTTTGCACATGTTTCATAGAAATGCCTATTAGTGCACAAGAGATACTATAAAATTTTTTGTTCAAATAAAAATCAGAGTTGTCTTGGCATAAGATTTTACTACTATAAACATTTGAACTAGTTAGTAGGTAGGTAAGAAATGCTATGAAATCAGGTCCATATTGTTTCCTCTTTTTATTAGAACTACTTTCTTAATTATTACAATAAAAGGGAAAGTCAAATTGTAAAGCTTTCTGTATTGTAAGAGAACGATAGATAATAAAAAGTAGATATATTGAGATTCTATTTTCAATAAGTTTAATTTAATTTTCAGGTATCGAGTACCTATATGAGAACGGCTTATTGCAGAGGACTCCGGAAGATGTGGCGCAATTTCTACACAAAGGCGAGGGTCTGAGCAAGACAGCCATCGGCGATTACCTCGGTGAACGGTCGGATTTTAACGAGGCTGTGCTAAGAGCCTTCGTAGAATTACACGACTTCACAGATCTAATACTAGTGCAAGCACTTAGGTATGTTATCAGAACAAACAGTTTAATGTCCTACTTAGAAAACAATTTCATTATCATAATAGTCTTTTTCAAAGAGAAATTTAGTAGATATCCTTCTATTTATTACCTTTTACTAAAATATCTATTGAAATTATTGCAAATATATTTCTGTGTAATGTCAGAAATATAATAATAGATAATAGAAAGAAAATAATTATAAGAAAGTAATAGTACACTATAATGTATTTGCAAACAGATCTATGTCGATATACAGTCAGTTCGTTAAAATATGTTCGTTACCCAATATATACATATATTAAAGATAAAGCAAGTATTCCTGAATATCAACGAGCGATAATTATCTGATAATTCTATTACCTATATCAGTATATTTAGAATAGGTAGCCTGGGCATTCATATAAAATAAGTACATATAAAATAGTAATATAAATACTAATAAAGTTAACTTCGTCCATTCTGATAGTTATCAGATATATTTTCCTTACTTGTGTAAAGATTTTCTCATGTTTATGTAAGTCTCCCATTATGATTCTTAGAACTGTATTTTGTTTGTGATTATTTTTTAACGTATATTGTCTTACTGATATGTTAACGATAAATTATTTATTTTTGTGTTGACATATAGCGTGACGTAAATTTTAGTTTGTTTTACGTAATATTACATGAAAATATATAATATAAATAATAAATATCTACTAAGGGAAAAATGTAATAAGCAATGTAGTAAACTGTGGAAATAGACGTGCATAATATCCTGATAAATAATCTCGAATTGTTGTTCCAGTTTCATGTAATATCTTCATATGTTTCCTTAAATTTAGGACAAGGAAAATTCAGGCTCACAAAAAGAATATAATCAAAGTGTATTATATCCATAGCCATATACAGTGAATATATATGAATATCAACTCTTGTAACTGCGAAGTACAATCAAGGAAAAAGTAACCTTGAATGAGTAAGCATAGAAATATCAAGCCTTCTCTCGTTTAGTTATATTGGCACTTCACCAAATATTGTAATGAGGCGACATTTCATAAACCTTGAACTTTTTCTTTTTACGTCATAAGTAACCAGTAAATACTCGTAACTAAGTACATTGGATATTTTATAAGAGCACACAATTATTATTTCGTCTGTGGTTATTATTTACTATCTTTTTTTCATCGACTTTCAGAAGGAGGTTCTCAATTTGTATTATAATATTTTGTATTAATTTTTACCCGCGACTTCGTCCACGTGGACGGGATATGTTTATTTATTGGAATAAAAGTAGCCTATATCCTTCTTCATCCTATATAATACGTGTATACCAAATTTCGCAGTGATCAGTTAACCAATTTAAGGCATTATAAATAAATAAATTTTTACATTTATAATATTACTAAGGATTATTATATGGTATCCTCTCTAAATTGTTACAGTTTATATTCGTGTTGGTTTCATATTAATATGTCACTAATGAAGTACCTTTATTTTTTGCGTAGCCAATATTTTATTACTAGTTGTATTTTGTGTGATTCGCTTGTACAGAAACATGTATTTACTTTTTTATATGAATATTTTTATATGTGAATCGGCGGCAACGTATACATTGTTGTTTAGTTTTGAAGGGCAAAACTTAGTTTGAGACCTGACGTAATATAAAACAACCTCAGTATTAGAAACGCATGACCACCGATTCAAAGTAAATAATATCCATTGTATTATTAGTATCAATTGGTGATGATTGCCTCTCATAATGATAAACAAGAGAATAGTCCCCCTGATAAAATATACATCGCCGTCGCATAGAGTAATGAATAACACTAACTTTCCATAAGGTGGGCGTCAGTTTGTAGGTTAAAAAAATTTTGCATGATTTTATAGCATTTGTTTAGAGCAGTTGTTTCATTGCCATCCACTTTTCTACATCGTGGTGTTATATTCGTTGGCAAAGTGCAACATATTGATGTTTTCGGTTATATTGCTAACTGTAAATGTCAACTTAATAATTCAAAAAGTAAAGATTAAAAATACGTCTAAATTAAAAAAAAAGGACTAAATTCGCAGCGAAAAATAGATTTATTAATATTGAAAATTTTATATAAATGTAGGGTTAACACTTATATTTCATTTAGCGTATGGTAGCTAATGTTTAGCATCATTAAATAATGGAATGATGCATAAAATTTAGATGTGAATTAAGTTCGAATATGACTACTCTTGACTCTATAAATTAGGTGATTGCAGTTGGTGAATGCAGCCAGTCAACCTAAAAAAAAAACATTTTATTAAACCACTACAAATTTTCTATTACAGGCAATTCCTCTGGAGTTTCCGTTTGCCCGGCGAGGCGCAGAAAATCGACAGGATGATGGAGTGTTTCGCGCAGCGGTATTGCCAGTTGAATCCAGACATATTCACGAACGCGGACACGTGTTACGTGCTTAGTTTCGCCATAATCATGCTGAACACGTCGTTGCACAATCCCAGCGTGAAAGACAAACCCTCGCCGGAGCAGTTCGTCGCCATGAACAGGGGGATCAACAACGGTGGAGACTTACCTCAGGAGTTGCTCTTGGTGAGTTACTTTTATTTCTAATATTATTCATTTATTTATATGCTTTTGTACAATCACATATACCTTAGGTTATGACAGAAATGTATATAGACGGACTTATCCCTTAAAGGGATTTCTTCCAGTCAACCTTGGGAACCTGAAAGGAGAAAGTATCTATAGGGTTTGTATATAAAACATAACATATATGTACAAAATAATACGATAAATAATAAATTATATTATTAGTAGCTATATAGTCAGTAACAGAGTACAGATAAATAAAATTTTAAATATATTTAAACATAGAATAATTATTATATATGTAAGTAATTCGACTGACAATTGTAATGTAAGATCTTTTTGATTAAGCTTTGAAAGCATTAATCAGTCGAATCGTGCATAATATCTTTAATTGAATAAATGATCAGAGAGTTTAAAAAAGTAAAAGAAAAGTATATAGAAAGTATATATACATTTTGATGATATATCGAGGTATCCTTTTAAATTATCATTTGATATTTAAAATACAGTTAAAATGCTAACGGTATGTAACAATGGTATATTGTTTTAAATATTGAATATTTCATGTTTACCCTATTAGGTATGTTCGTAATATACCAATATTTGTATGACTCAAGTAACTATCTAAAATATAGTGTACACACCGTAGTCACTGTTAGGCGGCTTCAGTTTGTTCTATAATGTTTGGATGGCCTCAAAATAATTTACTGGTTTGAATTCAGTATCGAGGTCTACATGAAATAAATCGTGTAGAACTGTTTAATTAAACATACACGTTCTACATCATTTCATACATTATGTAAGTTTATGTAAGTTAGGTAATTTGACATCTTCGTTTAATTTGAAAGCAGGTATTTTTGTGTTCATTTTAATTGAGACCTAAGTATATAAATATTAGGGAAGGAGTTCCTTGATTCGCCTGTATTTTTTCTGTGTGTGTGATATCTTCGCCATTTCCGAACAGATTTTGATAGTTTCTTTTGCAATCCACATATATTAATCTTGCCACAATTGTAATAGCTATTTTAAGAGCATAATTCTGTTTGTTCTATTGAATTTTATATAGGTTATCGTAGAGCAAAAGCGACCAAAACTTAGCCATATATTTTTTGTGATTGAACAGCTTTCTCCGGGTCGTATAAAAAACCTTAAACTAAACTACATAGTCACGAGATCGATTTCTTACGCACAAATTTGATTTCATATTCTATCTTATAATGTTATTTGAGGAAACTTGTTCAAATTCATGATTACACTTATATATTTAAATTAAAATTCGAATATTATTTTTAAGATCTGGAAGTACACAGAGGATTCTACTATTATGCATAGTGAAATATAACAGTAAAGTCATTAGTGAATCGATTTAAATAATGAATACAAAATATTTACGAAGTATTTATTTGAATCAATCAAACATAACATAAAATATATTGAATATTTCATTTGTAATGCCATTATTTATTTATTTTATTTTACTTTTTATTGCACCAAAAATTTATAAATATACAATCACAATTAGAAAATTAAAGTGAAATACAGTAGCATAAAATACAACTTGAAATATATACCTAAAGGTACAAAAGGAGGTCTTGTCGTTTATTATTATTATTTTTATAGCCATTGTAATCTTGTGGCTATTCGAGATAAAGTAAGTTAATGTATCTTACAAAAATATTATAGTATCGTTCACAATAGATAATATATTAATAACGAGCTATAAAGTAAATAGTGATCATTAAGTATTCTTATCTTTAATGTCAACAGTATGTGCGTAGTTATCATCCAATCCGTGACATCTATTTGAACTCCACAGTTAGCCTCGAGCCTTGTAATGTTATAGTCGGTTTACTTAATATTTGTATGTAAATTGAATGTAATCCTGTGAATTACACACTATTAAAATAGGTACTATGACTGTATAAGGAAAATAAGTAAGTAAAAATGTATGTCTGTATAATGTAAAACATATATATATGTATATGTATAATGTGGATAATATGAGTATTTTATGTATGCTATTTTTAAATTACTGTTTTTAATTTAATATTGTTCATTACGTTGCACCGTCAATTACATTTTCTGTTATTTCTTCCTGTCTATGGTCGACTGGTAGATAATGCCATATGGTGTAAAGTCCGCCTTTTTTAATGTCTCATTGTCACTTTCTTAAAGTCTTAAATTTTAATAAATAAACGAAATTAACAAATTTTTTTTACGTTATTTTTCAGTCATTATACGAATCGATAAAGACAGAGCCGTTCAAAATACCTGAGGACGACGGTAACGATCTCATGCATACCTTCTTTAATCCGGACAAAGGAGGGGTGGCTCTGGAAACAAGGGGGAAGGTAATATTTACTTTTATTACATAAATTTAATGTTAATAACATAGTTTTTATATGACTGTATATGTCATTCCCTGTGGAGTGACTATTGTAATTTTTTAATGCATGATAATGAAATGGTAACTTCACCTATGCTAACGGTGTACGCTGACGTTACACTAGTGAGGGGTGATAGGTGAGATTGAAAAGGCAGATCAGTTAGCTCGTGATATATGCCTGGAATTCAGCACGATGTTTTATAGGGACAAGGAGGTCGACCTGACAGGGTATATTACTAGCAATGGGACTGGTAATCTGCATTATTAACAATTCCTTCCCTCTACTATTGTAAATTAGGTGGGCTTTAGTCATACCTCAGGATTGATCAGTTAAACCTATAATCAGCGGCAGAGCTTAGGTCTTTAAATATAACAAATAGTATAATATTTGTTATGGATAGCAAAATTTTCCTTAGTAAACAAACCCAATATAAGTTTCATTCTTATTACCAAAATATTATTGTGAACGTATTTTTTTTATTTAGCTTCTTAAATAAGTACTTATCGTAATGTTGCGTCAAAAGGTTTTCACCCTCTAGACAAGTAGCAAGCCAATCCATTAATGAGATCGTCATCGCTAGCGACCCTATGAGATGGAATGAGATAGCAATGTCTGATGTCTCATTCCAACTCCAACAACCAACAGCTGTTCTTCTATCTTTTATTGCTATGTTACGCGAAAATGTTGCCTACTTTGAACCGATTTTAACAATACTTTTTGTTTATTTTTTTGAACGACTAATAAGACATCTATTATGATTAATAATCAATGATTACTAATCGATAAGTATTACTTCCGTATTGGCCCCATGTTATTTCTGTGACGTTTAAAATTGACGCTTTATTTGTAGATAAAAAATCGGATGTTGATAGGCGAAATCTATGTAATTCCACGTTTCTAAATAAAAATAATTTCAATGTAATTTATCTATAAAATATGTCGTTATTCATAAGTGTATGTCTATTCATGATTAAGGCTTATTTTGAGTAGTAAAGCAAAATATATTTATCAAAGATTTAGTATTATGAAATTCAACTGTTTGAATTAAGTACGCATTTTAAGAATTAAGACGTTCCAAGATGGCTTAATCTAAATCCTATTATTACTTTAATTGCATTCTCTATTTATCTCAATTAATTGTTAATGATTTCTTTACAGATATAAATCATGGAAGAGGAGGTGGTTTATACTGAACGATAACTGTCTGTATTACTTCGAATACACAACGGACAAAGAGCCCAGGGGCATTATTCCGCTAGAAAACATATCTGTAAGTATTTTATTACTTGATAGTTTACCTTAATAATAATAATTTATTAGGTAAGTGCTACATCGTCACACCAATAGCCTAGTCCTCAAGCTAGGATACACTGTGTCATAAGAAACTAGGCAACGAATATCTGGGGACACAATCCAGAACACCTAGCGTCGAACTAATTTGGAAATGTTCAGTTCCTAAATTGGCGTTTTTTTATACCACTGAGGTGGCAAACAAGCATACGGCCCACCTGATGGTAAGTGGTTACCGTAGTCTATGAACACCTGCAATACCAGAGCTATTATGCGTGCGTTGCCGATCCTGAAGAAACCTCTTTACCCCCCTTTTGAAGAACCCCATGCTGTAGTCTCTTGACATGACCGGGAATCGAACGCAGGAACTTATTTATACAAAGTAACGTGCTTATCTGTACCACGGAGGTAGTTTTTTTATTGAAATTTTTATAATTTGTTTTTAGATTAATTTTACACAGTATTTTTCTCCATGAACGACAAGGCAGCGTGGTAAACGCTTGTTTTTGTAGTTTTCTTTAGTTGGTTGGAGGTTGATGATGATGATTGAGGTTATGTTGTTGTTTGTAATTTTTTTTATCATTTGTTTACTGGCTGACGTCTCCGATTGATTGGTAGATTATCCTTTGATAAGACAAAAAAAGTAAGTTAATCATGATAATTTTGATTGCGTCAATATAGGAGTTCTATAAAAAAATATTCGTTATTGATTATTTTTAGAAAAATTAGTGGTACTTAAAACTGGAAGTATATTTATGGTTTAGAATATGTAACAGTAGATACTTCGTGAATCGAAAATTCATAAACAACTAAATTCATACCAACTTAACACCTGATATCTCTTTTAAGTTGACCGTTTCTGAATTGTTAACTATAACAGAATCTTTTGCTTGGTATTCTATATATTTTAAACCAGACTTTTACTAATTTATACACTCGTATTATATTCGACAACTACTGCCAAAACTCTCCTTGTGGAGAAGGCTCATGTGTCAATAACGGCTGAAATGATTATTATATTTCATTAGAAGATATTGGAAATATGAAGGACACCTATGTTTAACTGCGAACAATGGACAGATTTTTTAGTGGCTCATAATGGAATGGCAACCCTTCCCGTGCCAGGGGTATAGTAGTGAGGATGAAAGCAGGCCAGTTAATCCATCGTAATGAATACACGTGGAATTCAGCACGATGGTTACCAGGGGGACCACTTGGAGGTCGATCTGACAAAGTATATTGCTAGCAATAGGACTGGTAGTCCGCATTACTAACAATCTCTCCCCCTCAATAATGAACGAATGTATTTATAGAGAAAATCCTGATTTGTTTGCACTTCACTCTCTTGTAGTTTTACCTGTACATTGTAATGCAAGTCAGTCAGTAGTTGAAGCCTCTATTACAAAAAAAAAAAAGTTAAATCTATATGAAATATTCATAAGCTCCATTAATTATTAGTTGATTGATTATGTTAAATAACTGTGTGAAGAAATGATGACAGTACAGTTACCGTTGCATGACGTTACAGGTTCGGCCGGCGAGCGATCGACAGCGGCCGCACTGTTTAGAACTGTACGCGAGCGGCGGCGCTGACCTCATCAAGGCGTGTAAAACTGACTCGGAAGGGAAAGTTGTTGAAGGGAAACATACTGTTTACAGGTAAACACGCTACATATTTTTTCAGTTATTATAATTGAGCAAAAGATAATGGATCACCTGATGGAAAATGGTAATAGAATTTAAAAAAATCGTAAAATTTTAACTGTTTCAGTAAAGTAATATTTAGCCTTATCCTGTTAACGTCTAACCAAATTAACGTTTAAAACCATTGTTATTATCAATACTATTCAAATACATGCATATTTCCTTTACCATAAAAAGATACATCGTATAACAGGAAGTGGCGACTATTTATTTACCAGTAGCAGCTGCTTTTCCTTTTTAATGTATGAACATCAGCACTGCAACAGACTTACGAGAGTTTTAATGAATTTGATGTTATCCCTGTCAGATGCTGAAAGAGATCCTATGAAATTTAAGTAATGGAATTCTAATCCCACTTGTGCTAAGGACCATCCTGTTGGAAGTTGTCCCTGTGTGCTCTCAGGATAGGGTGGTCACGTGTTGTGGCACTATAAAAAAATACACTGGCGGATTGTTAGTTGGGAATGATACACGAGGAAGGGTAGCTGACCCGTTCTTCCGAATTTATAAGGAATAAACCACGATGGTCTCCAAGTGGGACCACAAGTAGGTCGACCTGATAGGAGGGTGTATTGATAGCATTAGTGCCGTTGTTTACAATGAGCAATAGACTCACTTCTGCAGCATGATTTTTTGTTTAAAGAGGTCATTAAGGTTGAATAATGAAAAAAATAAAATAAAATACATAAACTATATAAAGTTAGGACTGTAAAAAAATTGGTAAAATTAGGTCAAAGTAGTTTTTGCAACTGTACAAGCATAAATGCACCAAAGGCAGTATGATTTTTTCTATAGTCGTTCACTTTTTGAAGAGCCCTCTTGGATGTGCATGGAGTGGACATATTGCATAGAGTAGTATTGGATTTCTTATACAGTTTTAATATATTTTACTGTTTTTTTTTTTACAGAATGTCAGCAGCGACAGCGGAAGAGCGAGACGAATGGATCGAGTGCCTCCGCCGGTCGATAAGCCACAATCCCTTCTACGACATGCTTGCACAACGCAAGAAAAAGGCGCAACATAACGTACACTCTAGCTCCCACTAGTCCCCAAATATATACAGATACCTTATCAATAGAGGATATTTTCTATGCATATAAACTACCGCCACTAATGATATGAAGGCGCCCATTGCTGTCAAGAGTTTATAAGCCACCTTCGTTATATACGAAGGTCTTTGACATGGCTTTATGAACGGTAAACAACGATACAGTTGTTAATAACACATTGGTGCGTTAGTAGACTTTTTAATTAGGACAATTATGTGAAAATAGGAGTTATGGACATCTCAAGTGTAAAAAAAAAATACTTCTACCATATAAGACAGTGATCTCAAAGGTAGGTAAAGCGACGAGTCAATTTTACTAGCGGAATAATTGTTACATGTTTTGTTGTAATGACCATCAAATCTGCGTTGAGCCAAAAAATGTTATAGACTACATCTACGGACTCTGTTATTGAATGTTACTTTGTCTCATAAAATACGTACATATTTTATAAGATAAATGTTGATTACAAAAATACATTCTACAACTTTGACTATTGACTATACTTATTATATCAAATAATATGTCAAATATTAGCGTGATATAACTGTGAAAAATTATTATTTTATCGTACCGTATCCAATAAATAGTTTAATATTATTTGATGGATCATTCTCTCCGCTTATTCGATGTATGCAAAAATTAATACAGAAAATAAGCGTAATATAATAATATGAAATCCAATATCACTTGTGCAAATATATTTCTTTTAAATATAAAGTTTTACATGGAAAATTTTTAAATTAATACTCTTACAACGACGAATAATTTAAAAGGCACTATTTTTTTGTATTGAAATGCCAAAAAGGTTGTTACGAATGATAGAAGGCCTTTTAATGGTAACACCATTTTGTTGAACAATAAGCATGTTGCATATGTTCGTATTAGATAATATAGGAACCACCATCAATATGAAAATATAGACGTCCATCTTATACAATTGATTTGTCATTAGGTTATTAGTGGTCGGACTTCAATAAAATGTGATATTTACAGTCATGATATTACGGACTGACAAGAATATATTGTATATTGCGTTGTGTGCATATCATACAATACGTTAATATATCATGATCGTTCGGTACTTCATGGTTGCCGCCATATTGTCCATGTAAATAAAATGTTAAGACTGAAAACATTACGATGTACATTTTAATACATTTGTTTTCTTCGATTGGAAAAATATGCAGCATATCGTATTATTTGCGAGTACTGCTATATTAATTGTATCGTTTTTAATATTACGAATACTACTACAAATATGTATTTTTAATTCGACATTCATCAGTCATGCTTCTTATTGCCTTGACAATAATATAGTAAATCGGATTATGTCAGATATGGCAATACTTTAGTTTAGCGGTATAATGGCTAGCCGTTTCAGAGGAATCGCGGGTAGGAGAAATACATCTGCTCTTGTGGATCGCGGCACTAAGTGAATTTGTATTCAATAAAAGTATTACTTTTAAGATAAATATAATGTAATATACAGAATAATGTAAACTAATGTATAAATAGTATAGTTTTGTGGTACTTTGTCCAACGCCATCGCTTTACTTTTCTATCAGAATGTAAATATGGCTGTACAACGTAATTACGAGTACTACGTTGTTTAAGATGAATAAATCTAACTTGTTATGTAGTGTGGGGCACGCGAGACGTTTTGGAATACATTCCTGCATATTTATTTCATGTCTACAATTAGTATATCTGTTTTCTGATTCTGTAGTCTTATTCCTTCTGTTAATTTTATTTTCTGTATATAGTACATATATATCTATATATAACTTTATTTATGCACATCACTATTAATAATTTTATCTAATTATAAAATCTATTTTATTTTACAGTTTTAATCGAAACTGTAGTTTTGTGTAATGATTATTTTCAAATCTTTTTTTTTTTAAGTTTTTGGGTTTATTATTATTAATTAAGTTTTAAAATTATTATAATGCGTGCTGAACGAATTGTCGCTTTATGGTCGATAGTTAATGATGTTTAGATGAAGGTGCCTAAATCGATCTGTAATTAGTGTTAACTTTAGTAGTAGAGAAATAACGTAAAACGCTGTAAATTCGCCACAGAAAATATTAATTTATCTCATTTGTAATGTTTTATATGACTATGGTTATTGTGCATAATAATTGTGTTGTAAATAATTTTGTAAGAAATGAATATACATAAATATCTTTATTTATAGCGTTGTTTTATTTCATACGATTTATGAAACATTAAGGTGACAATAGTCAAAGTAAGACTATTTCGTCCTTGCAAAGTTATACTAAGTCTATTATTTCGTCTGAAACTAGTAAAGACAAAAGAAAAGTAGTACAAAACTTAATCGTTGAAGATTCCTTTTGTTTTCTAAGCCATTTCTAAAAAAAGTAAGTTTTTAATTCGTATGTATTTTTTTTTTATGTTTCGCATAATTTTTGTCAATTCTAAATTGATTTTTTGTACTGTAATAATCAATCTTTCTATATAACCCATGATGTCCCACTGCTGGGCCTTTCAAAATTTTTAGGTAAAGAATAATAAACAATATAATCTATTAATCGTAAGATAGATTACGTTTGCTATTTTTAGAATAACTTTTGAAATCAGTAGGGATCACTCTACAATTCGATATTAAATATGTGCTAATTAAAATTTTCATTTTCCTTTGTAAAGCTAAATCCTACTTGTTGTGAAAAATCGTATAGATACATGATTTATTGTTTTAAGGCAACGAAACATCTCGTTATCATCTTATTCATATTAAAATAAAAGTGTGATTACCTAATGTTCAATAACGTTAATATTGACTTGATTGAAGTAGCCGTTTTTTGCGCAGCAAAAACAACTTGTTTTGTACTCATTGTCCTTTTGACCGGTTGAGAGATTTGTTTATAACAAAACGAAACACGGCAACAATATTACGACGTAATTTAGATGAAATAAATAAATACGACAAGACGATGCGTACGTCACAGCGATCATTATTTAATTCCTTATAAATAAAAGACTTGTGTTAAAAAAGCAGATCAAAAACTTATTTGTAACAACAATGAACAATAGTAAAAGTCTATTTCACGAAACTATTTAGTCTACAAGTTCGTAGTTAGTAACTAGTTTATTAGTTGTGGGTTCTAATAAATATTGTTTCACAATTTTCAACCGATTTGCGAAAAAAGGAAGTATTCTCAATTTGTTAAGTATAAGTTTGCTATCTCATAGCTTCGTCAGTTGTAAACCGATTTGAAAGATTCTTTTTTTTTATTAAATACTAACTGGTCCCATATAAACTTTATCAAAATCGGATCAGTAGTTTAGTTTTTAGATGAAAATAACTCGTTTTATCACAATTGAAGACGGTTTTTTTTTGTGTGGCACAATCTTTAATTATAATTATCAGTACTACTTGTAACTATCAGCATTATACCAATAAAAAATCTGTCTGGCCTGAGCCAAATCCTAGTATGGTCCTATCCTCAAGGAACTATGATCAAAATAAAAATATCAAAGTTATTTCAATAGAATTATTACATATAGTTTAGGTATAATTAGTATTCATAATAGAGCTTTATTGCTAAATGCAATATTGTCGATTGACCGAGTTAAAAAGTAATATATTATATACTACAATACTTCTTTATCTCAAATAGAATCAAACAATGATTGATGTTTCGAGTCGTTTTTTGGGTACAGAGGAATAACACAGGCAACGCATGGGGGAGACTTTTATGTCCATGGTACTGCTCATGTTTATAGGCGACGGTTACCACTTTCCATAAGGTGGGTGCTTGTTTGACATTCTAAGTTGTAAAAAAAATGACACCAAGAGGTTTCAGTACCGCTTTTAATCTATCTGACTGTACATCTCTTTTAATTTATGGTTATTATTTACTTACTATTACACGTGACCGTATAAATGTGTTGCGTGTTTGGAAAAAGAACGAGTTACATACATACACATATTTTTATGTACAGTTTTTTAATTCACCGAACCGTGGCGCACGATCGGCTTCCCTTTCCGATGTCGGTGAAACGTGGCCGTTGCGCAAAAATTATTACCGCTGAAATTGTTATATTAGTGCATATTCACGACGGAGAATTATTAGATTAGATCGGTCAATGTCCTATGTCATATACTAGTTTTTTTTATACAACTTAGAATGGCAAACAAGCTGACGGCCCACCTGATGGAAAGTGGTAACCGTCGCCTATAGACATGAGCAGTACCATGGACATAACAGAGTATACTGTTTCGCCCATGATACCTCCCATGCGTTGCCATGTTATTCCTCTGTACCCAGTAAATCCACGCCATATCCCACCCTCCAAACCGAAACACAGCCATGCAAACACAACTGCTTCACGGTTGAAACACGAATGGGACAGAAGTATCCAAACAATCGCAATCAACTTTTGTACAAAGTATAAAGTGTCTGGTATATAAAAACTACTGGATAGATTTTGATAAAATTTCTATAGGACCGATCTGTAAGTATGTACCTTTTAGATAAAAAAAAGAATTTCGAATTCGTTTACAACTGACGGATTTATGACGTAACAAACAAAAAAAAACAACCGAATTGAAAACCTCCTTTTTGAAGTCGGTTAAAACTAAGTAATAAACTATTCAGCAATTCTAGGGAATGCCAGCTACCTACGTTATAATTAACGAAAATGCCCATTACAAAGTTACTTAACTTTAGCCTAAATGGGATCTGTTCGGCCTTAATTATTTTGTGATGTTACTAATACATAGAATATAAGTTTACATATGTATGTACCTATATATCAGGGTACAAAAACTAGAAGCGAAACTCCGGTACTTTATGATGATTAAATTGCATAATTATTGTTGATTTGTAGTAAATTAGCATTTTGTTGTAGACTGTTACTTAACCTATAATAGTTTCATTTACGCAATGACGCGTGTTTACGACATTTTTATATACTGGATAGGGAAGAGCAGTGTTGCCAGAGTGAGTATTTATTTCACAATTTTGACTAAATAAATTTTCATCATTATCATCATCATGTCAGCTATATATATATATATATATATATATATATATATATATATATATATATATATATATATATATATATATATATATATATATATATATGTATATATATATATATATATATATATATATATATATATATATATATATATATATATATATATATATATATATATATATATATATATTATATATGTGCATATATAATATAGGACCAATAAGGCTGTATGTTTTGTATTGATAGCAAAAGAAATTATCGAAATCGATACAGTTGGCAAAACATGAAATATACAAGCGATACGAGAAACTACATTTTGTTGTGTTGCTTAAAATACTCCAAAATAAATGCCACTTTACGTACGGAAAACACTTTCTCGGGTCAAATACAACGATCTTTAACGGTAAATACGATTTATATCGGCTATATATTATTATATTCATGCTTTCTAATATTACAAAGATTTTCCGCTTCACTTTTCATAGACATTCACGTGATGTTTAGAAAATTTGTGTTTAATAGACACTTATTCTAAAAACAGAACTACATTTAACTTTCTAAAATAAACATTTTGATTATAATAGAGTACTGATAATATATATTTGTATTAATTAGGTAAATATTTATTTTAGATGTGATAATTTCCAGTGAAAATTAAGGCACTTTGAAATATTTCATAATCACTAAAATATCATAATATAGCTGACTATTAAATTTCATATTTACTCAAAGTTTTGACTTCAAGCTGAATGAGTAGTCGGCGGTTGGTTGTTTTTTTTTAATGGATGATAACGAATAAATAACCACGCCTGTGCTGTCGTATATGCCGGTGGGACACCAGTGAGGAATAACAGGTGAGAATATTTTGAAAATATTGAAAATAATTAACCACAGTGATTTCTAAAATCCGCGTGGAGGTCGACCCGATAGAGTATATTGCTAGCAATGGCAACCCCGTTATTAACAATTCCTTCCTCCCTGGCGGTTGCACTAATAATATATAAAGTAATATGACAATGGAAAATAAATGTACAAAGACGAGCTTAACAAATATTAGAATAAGTAGAAACAAAAATAATAGAATTTTCAAATAATAAATTAATGAAGCGAAAAGAGAAAAAGAAATATTTTATCCTATGTATAAATAATTTAATAAGAAATATAAAAAGGCTGATATGATGATAATGATAAAAATACTTATATTAAAATTAATTTATTAAACGACTCGCTACCAGTTAATAATTAGTATCTAAGCTGCGACATGAGAAAACATTGTCTTTTTACAACGTCTAATACATTTATATTGCGGTATATTTTAATAGCTTTAAACTATAAAATAAATAGTAGTATTGAAGTGAATTAATGTCCTGTAATAATCGTTATTCGTTACCTACTTATTTTTATTGTATTTTTATGTGTTTTTCAAACAATAGATTCATTATTGATACAAAGATGTTAATTTAAAGATCAATGCACCACCGATATTTTTCATTTATTTAGATTACATAGTTTCAATTCGTTATATTACAAATATAAAAGTGACTTTGTTCTTTTAATACCTCTTAGAGCTATAGTAGCTTAACCAATCGTCATTATCATCATTTCAGACACTATCTGTCTACTGTTGGATATAGGCCTCCCCCATAGACTGCCAAAAGTAATGGTATTGAGCTACCTGCCACTCGTCATGGAATGAATTATATCCTGAATACAACTTGTATTAGGGATGGAGAAAAACATATAATACTTTTGGTCCCGGACCGTTTATTAACGAATAACATTTATTTAATAAACAAAAAAAAAATACTACATCTAAGTATGTAATAAATGATATTACATCGTATTGGTGATGACCCGGTCAAGGATGTCAAGACAACAGAAGTTAATATGGCAGTAAGTGTCATGCGCATACGTCACACGTAGTACTGACCGGTTTGCCCACTCATCTGCATAATGCACCTATGTATGTTGGAAGGTGACTTACGCATTTAGTCGCTCTTCAATAAATGAGTAGTAAACGCTATTCTTTAAATACATTTTCGCTATAACCTTTATATATCGATACATAATCTTTATTATACCACTGAAGTGGCAAACAAGCATTCGGCCCACCTGATGGTAAGCGGTTACCGTAGTCTAAGAACGCTTGCAATACCAGAGGGATTACGCGTAAGTTGCCGACTCTGAAGAAACCTCTTTACACCCCTTTTGAAGATAATATTCAAATTCAGGATTAAATTGCGTAACTAAAATAAGAATCTTTACCTAGTCCGGCTTTTTCCTATTGCATACGTGTCAATAAGACGTCATTTTAATTCTAGTTTATTTTGAGACTCATACTTATTGTTATTAATACGAATTAATATGAGTAACAATCGTTTTATGTAGGTAAGTACCTAGAAAACCTACCCAATAAAAAGCCCAGCAAGTGTTTGGGCTGGGGGGACTCCATAAGCGATTTTAAAAATGTGTACTATCACCTACATCTGTAGCCTATACTATCAGCGAGTAAAGTGCATTGTATTCTATTAAAAAAAAAAAATTATTTACCTAACTATGCTAAGTCGGGGGGAGAAGGGATTGTCAGTAATGAGGATTAGTAGCTCCATTGCTAGCAATATATCCATTCAGAAAAACCTGCTTGTGGTTTTGGGATTAATCATCATGACTGATTTATTTTATATTAATGTCAAAGTTTTATAATATTTTTTCATCCTCACATATCATAACTGGTATAACGCCAGTATACCGATAATATAGCAGGCGGGGTTACCATTCTATCATCCATTAAAAAAAACCATGCTATGTCGGGCAGGATATGCCTATACTTAGGCTGTATTTTTTCCAACTTTTGCTACGAAAACCTAGATAAGGAACATCTAAGAAAACCGCCAATTCAGGACGCTGCATGAACTTAGGCCATTTATATTCGCGAAGTAATTTGCTTCACGGACATATTTATCACCTTCCTGGTTTATAACAGATTTTGATGACAAGAATATTAATTCTTCTAACATGGAAGTACTAGAGCTTAGATTATCAATGTCACTTTTATAAATAATCATAGTATGGTACGACACTGCATAATGTTGCAGTCACGATTACCTATTAGGAGAATAAAATATAATATGATGCTGGCGAGGCAAAAATATATTAAGAGCCACTTTGGCCAACATATAAAAAAGCAACGATAAAGACGAGGAGCGGTCTTCGGGATATAGTTGAAATACGATATTTATTTCAATTGCAATCATTATATATATGTATATATATATATATATATATATATATATATATATATATATATATATATATATATATATATATATATATATAATAATGATCATCATCATCATCCTCTCAGCTATTATCCGTCCACTGCTGAACATAGGCCTCCCCCATAGACTGCCATAATCCCTGCAATACATTTGAGGTCATCACTCCAACTAGTGGAGGTCGTCCTACACTGCGTTTGCCCTTACGGGTTCGCTGCTCAAGAACCTTTATATATATTTTTTTATTTTCTTTTCTGCGTCAAATGGTTAATAAGTTAATAAATTTTAATTGTAATAGCAAGTTTGTGCCACTTTAGCCAAATCTCAAAATAAGGAAACAGAAATTTCTTTTGTTTATACTTCGCAATTGTTTTAGACGTTTCCTATTTTTATACAATAAAACAGAACAAAAATAGAAAAATGTGACATTAACTATTTAACCGTAACAGATGATTTACTTTTTTGGCTTTTCGTTTCGTTACGTTTTTTGTCTCTCCTCTATAAATAAATTTTCAATGCAATTACTTTCAAATTTTCGATCACATCCACGGTATTATTCTGGAAAATTAATAACATCTCCATATAAGTATTTTGTCCTTCTAAATATATTTTGCTATTATATCGTAATGATAAAATATTACGGTGTCGTACCATGGTACTGTAGGTTATAAAAGCGCGCAATAAATATTAATTGAATAAGTACATATTAATGTCATCGATTATAGTAATTTTTTTTTATTCTGCAATGCTTTGTTTGAATATTCGCAATATTCGTATTTAAGCAGCATACCATATTCCTATTAATCATTACTAATAATGACATTAAATTCATCTGTGCTAATAAATTCTTTGTCAATTATTTTACATATGAACAGAGTCTGATTCACGCTGTGACGATGGAATGACTAATAATGAAATTTGTACACACTAAATGTGGAAAAATATGTAAATACTTGGATAAATTGTAAACATAGTTATGTTAATAAGCTCTCTTTTCATTGATAAAAGCTAAATTCAATGTCGATTTTGGTTAATGGAATTATATTAACTACTTATTAAAACTAAAATTTATGTATTTATTTCAAGTTTAATCAAAAACTCTTGTTATTATCTACAGATAATCACTATCACTACATAGTATAAAGCAAGGTCGCTGTCGCTGTCTGTCCATCCCTATGTATGCTTAAGTCTTTAAAACTACACAACAAATTTTGAAGCGTTTTTTTTTAATAGACAGAGTGATTCAAAAGGAAGGTTTATATGTATAATACATGCATAATATAGTAGAGAAATACTGGTAATTTTAGAGGTTTCTAATGTAATGTCGTAATGTAATGGAGCCCCGGCGGCGCTATTTAATATCAGCATTTCACTCGGGTAAAACCGGGGCGGGTCGCTAGTTATATATATATATTGAAAACATTATGCCTTTTTTTCTCTTGATATTTATTGATATATACTTTGTTTCTTTAGATAGACTAAATCAATAATAACTTCCGTATAAATATACACCATGCCTTTGTATATTTTATTTTATATTATTTTCCTCTACACTACTAAGTCGTTTGCTATTTTGGAAGTACCTAAATTATATTACAAAATAAAATAGACACTTATATAGGCAAGTACTTTGTTTTTTTTAAATAGACTATATCAATGATAAATTCCGTATATGTTTTTGTATATTTTATTGCGTATTAATGTTCCTCTACACTACATATAAGGTTGTTTGATATATTTGAAGTACTTCAATTATATTATAAAAAAAAAACAGATACATAATATATAACTATAAATAAAAATAAATTATTGTTCAACTATTTTAATAGTGACAAAATTTATATGACTACGCGACCAACATTAAAGTAAACAAACTGTCGATTTTAAAATATATTCAAAACATGTTTAGATTTAATTTTAGAAGATACCACGTGACGTGTAAAAATACAGTCAAAATGAGAGGAAAATAGTTAAACAGAGAAACAATTTCTGTTGGATAGTCGGTGTCTTTATGTGGTGTAGATAAATATAATGTTTCAATTAACATAATAATAAATATAAATACGGTAATAAAAATAAACATGTGTTAGTTGCCCTTCAACTGCTTTTGGAGGACGTTTTATAGTATGAATATTACCTACACATATATCGTAGTGAGATAGTTAAAAGTGTTTTAAATTATATATCTTATTATTATCATAATTATCTATTAATAATTCATGGTAAGATATATTATTTTTGGAATGCATGAAACACTTGATGTGCAACTATGTTTCGTTGGCAAGTGTACGTATGAGTCCATTGAGAATGGCTTATCCAGAGCAAGGACACTATAGGTATATAGGACGTAAAGGTAATACATAGGATCTATAAAATAATAGAATAAGGTTGAAGGAAGCACAAAAAAACCCCATGGATCAACGTGCATAAGTTCGTAGGCTAACCCCAAAGGCGAATCAAAGATAAAATAAAATTATATATTGAAAAGTCTGATCGAGAGCCATATCGTTTTATAATACCATAGTATAAAATAAAAGCTTGAACTAACTATTATTATTCAATTAGCTTTTACCCACGTCTTTCTCCGCGTGACCGGAATATATTGATTAACCATTTTGAAAAGTAGTCTATATCCTTGTCCATCCCAAATACTAAATGTATGCTAAATTTCATGACAATCGGTTGGATCATTATGGCACTTGAGAGAACAAACAAACTCACAACATCCTATTATAAAAGCGAAAGTTTGTAACTATGAATAGATGTTTGAAACTCTTTCACGCAAAAACCACTGAATGGGTTTGAACAAAAATTGGTGCATTTGCTAAATAATCATGTAACCTACCTGAGGTTATATTCTAATTTAGCACATGGGTATAGGTACTGATTCACGCGGGTGAAGCCACGGAATAAAGCTAATTTATAATGTTAGTAAAGATTACTATGGTACTTATTACCATAAAAATAAATAAACAAATACATTATCCTAATTCTCACTGTGGTGGGGAAAGGGATTGTTAGCAATGGAGTTCGACATTGCTAGCAGTAAACTTCATCGACCTCCATTTGGTTCCAAACCAAAAATAAATAAAAAAATACATTAATCTTTCACTGGTGCCTCGCTGGTGTATACCAATAGCGCGGGTGCGGTGCCATTCCATTATCACCCATTAAAAAAAAAATCTCACTGTGACATACATACAGGAAGAGATGTAAACAGAACACATATTTTCTGTACCGTGGAAAGCTGATAAGTTGGACGACTTGAGAAGGTAGTAGATATAAGGTAAATAGCGAAGGTAAAGCATTTCAATAGAAATAATCTTCTAGACTCTAATTAATACAGCCACTTAAATCGTCACAGTTTTATGATTTTACTGCCGCGTTATGTAATGTTTTCTGCGGTGAATAATCACTGAGAAACTCATCAATTGCTTTATTCATTTACAAAGTAGCTGTTACTTTATAATAATTATCATTAATATTAACACCATGGCCGTGTGGTCCAAGCATAGAATAGGCTACCCCTTTCCTTTCTTATGGGCGTCATTTTATCACAGGCGATTAAAGAAACTTAATCGTTAGGGATGACTAACAGCAACGTACCTCTGAAGACGTTACTAATTGCGGTTGCTAACCCGTCTGCCAAGCTTAGCAACTATTGCTAACTACAAACCCTCAAACGAGATGCCTAAGTTTTGTTTTATATCACTGAGGTGGCAAACAAGCATCAGCTGAACTGTACCACCTGATGGTAAGCGGTTACTGTTGCTTATAAACGCCTGCAATATCAGAGGCATTTTTTTTATGCGTGAAAATGGTACAGTAACCCCGCCTGCGCTAACGGGATACGCTGGCGGAGCACCAGTGAAGGGTGATAGATGAGATTGAAAACAGGCCAGTTAGCCCATCATGATGAATTCATCAGGAATTAACCATGATAGTTTCCAGGGGGAATCCGCGAGGAGGTCGACTTGGTTGGATATATTGCTAGCAATGGGATTCTCAGTCTATATCAGAGGCATTACGCGCGCTTTGCCAACCCTAAAGAGACCTCTATACCCCTTTTTTGAGGAAGAGCTCATTCGATAACATAAACGTTCCTGGGAGAAAATATCTCTGAAAACGCGCTGTATGCGACCATCTAGGCCCTAAGTTATGAGGGTGAACTCTCTGTTAATGGCGATGGTGAGAGATGTCGATGAAGTTAGCAGTGGACAGTTAACGACTCACTATCATCATCATTAATATTAAAACCAAATAGATAGAAATGATACTATGTATAAAGAAATTATACAAAGTGTAAGTTCTAGTTTTAATATCTATTGGGTGTTAATTTAACAAAATAGTTATTTCATTCAACTGGGATACATCGGTAGCTCTTATAAAAATATATTATTGCCAATATAGGAGATACCCTTTTCCATACTAAACATATACATTAGACGCTAAATTTCATGATGATTATTTAAGCCATTAAGGCGACAAAAGTTAACAAATACACTTTCACATTTATAATACAGCTTGGTACAGCCATAGCTTTACGAGTATAATATTTACTTATAACTACATCCGCTCATTATTTTGTACGTTACACACTTCGTATCGTACACACTCATCCGTAAACATTATCAACATAACGTACACACGTACATACACGTAATGTTGGCCCTGAATAATGAAACTAGGGAAGTTGCAGGGAGATAAGACTAACTGCAGTTTTACATTTGCTTTTTTATTAAAGTTTAAATTTAAACTTAAATTAAAAGGAAGAAATAATCAATCATCAATTTTTATTTTATCACTCTTTCTAGTCTTTATTTTTAGGTTTCTATGTCTCTGATACCCTTTATATCTCGTTACTTACTCGTAATAAATTACTTTCCGAACATTCAACATAGTACTTAATAATATTTGATTTATAGTAACGTAAATACATACCTACTACTTGGCCATACTATTATGTAAATTAATAGATATGAATATTGTCGAACGACAATTTAGTGTACCATTTGATATCAAACGAAAGTAGGAAATGCATAAGTGACCACTATTAAATTAAGTACCGAGTATAATACATTTCACTTATTTCTTTTAGTGAAGTTTAAATCGTACTACGGCACGATATGGTTAGGTACGGGGGCACGCTATGGTGTTTTTAAGAAAATCAATAGGTATACTGTGTACATATTTACATACCATAGTACGTGACGTGGAGGTATTTTTTAGTAATGGCATGAACGCCCTCATTGCTAAGAATATGCTATGTCTTCTTTATAATAGATGAAAATAAAAATAGTAACTCCGACAACGTAGGCCGATAGCGTAGACGGCGGGAAGCACGGTTTTTTGAGTGATGAAACAGGTCAGCTGACTCACCATGGCAAATTCACTAAAAATTAACCACTAAGGTTTCCAGGGGAAACTGCGTGGAGGTTGACTTGACAGTGAGGTCAATAGCTAGCAATGGGGACTGATATCCTCATTATTAACGACCCCTTTCCTCCAATATATCCTGTCTACCTTCTGTCTACCTAGGTCTACCTTCTCTGTTATCATCTCTCCTCCTCAAAATCATCTTGCTAAATACTTGGTTAATTCGTCATGATGGGCCAACTGTCCAGACTTTATTTTTACCTATCAATTCAAATTCAAAGGCATGGTTACTAATCCATTTCTATCTATATTAATACTATTAATGTGCTAGTTTGTTTGTCTGTTATCTTTTAGTGCCGTAACGGCTCAACCGATTACCATGAAATTTGGTATACAAGTAATACGAGTATGTGTATTTAAGAACAATATAAGGTACTAGATTTTATCCCGACCAATTAATATATCCTAGTCACGCAAACGAAGTCGCAGACAAATCTAGTTCTTTAATAAAAAAAAATATCAAACGTAGTAGGCACGTCTTGTTTATAGCTAATACAATGCATTCTGTGTTAAATAAAATAGGGTCTTTATAATATTACTACAGTCATATAGTTATTTTCCATCATGTTATTTCC